GAATAATATCCGACAATACCTTTAAAATGTTATGCGCTATACATTTTGCTAGAATTTTTGCATCACAACACTGAAGTGTAAGGGGCCTCCAATTTTTTTAATGGACTGGATCTTTATATTTTCCACTTGTATCCTGTTTCAGTAATAATGAGATCAGACCTTCTTCTTGAGTGTCAGATAATCTACCATTTACATAGGAGTGGTTAAAACATGCTAATAACGGTCCTCTTAGTATATCAAAAAAGGTTTGGTATACTTCGACTGGTATGCCATCCAACCCTGGAGTTTTCCCGGACTTAAAGTCTTTAATTGCATCCAGAAGTTCCTCCTCTGTAATTTCACCTTCACATGAGTCATTCTGTTTGGCTGTTAATTTTACATTATCAATAGAAACAAATCTCTACAATTAGCTTCAGTTAGAGGAGATGGAGGTGACTGAAACGAAAACTTATGCTTAAATTACCTTGTTTCCTCCTTCAAAATATGATTTGGTGAATCATGGGTTACTCCGTCAATTGTAACCAGTTTCATTAAATTATTTTTGGTAGCATTCCTATGTTGAAGATTAAAAAAGAATTTGGTGCATTTTCCCCCATATTCCATCCAGTTTACTTTATTTTTATAATATATTACACTTGATCTTTCTTGAATAATTTTCACCATTTCTTTTTGTTTTTCCTCTAATTTATTCTGAGCCTCTATGTTACAGTTTTTATTGCCATTGTCACGGTTTCGGCCGAGGCTGCTCCTCCTCCTGGTTCGGGCAGGCTTCGGCGGTCGTCGTCCCCGGAGTACTAGCTGCCACCGATCGATGTTTCATGTTCGTTTGGTTTTGTCTTTATGTTGTACACCTGTGTCTTGTTAGTCCTCGTTAGTGTCCTATTTAGTTCTCGTTGGTTGTGTTTGTCTTTGTGTGTGATTGCTCTTCTGTTTTCGTGTTGGAGCTACGTACTTCCCTCCAGTGTTTTGGAGAGGGTTTTCGCACATGTTAGTGCGCCGTTTGTTTGACGCCTGTGTGCGCTGTGATTTCGCCTTCGGGCTTATTGTGCTTATTTTCTACGTGATTATTGCACTAAAGTCTTTTGGACTGAGCTTCTGCGTCCTGCGCTTGATTCATGCACCACACCCACCTTCAGCACCCCTTGACAGCCATCTATCTGTTCTGTTAGACCTTCTAATTCCTTTGTTAGTGTGGACTCTTTTGACCTAAATTGCTTTTGTTTTCGAGATGAGTATTGAATTGCATGGCCTCTAAGGCACATTTAAAAGTGTCCCATACAATAAGGGGATTTGCTGTACCTATGTTATGTCGGAAAAAGTCAGTTATAAATTCCTTTGTCCTAGTTAAAAATAAATTATCATCCAATGGGCTTTGATTACATTTCCAATATCCTCACCCACATGGAAATTCAGTAAGAGTAATGTATATGCCAATTATATGATGGGCCGACCGCATTCTGTCCCCTATCAACACTTGTAAAACTTTTGGTGCCAATGAGAATGACATAAGAAAGAAGTCAAGACGACTAGCTTGATTGAGTCTCTGCCATGTATATCTCATTAGAGCAGGATATTTAAGCCTCCATATATCTACTAGTTCTAATGTATCCATGACATTCACGATTTCCTTAAGAGCATGTGGGTGATTGTTTGTGGTGTGATTTCCTTTACGGTCCATTGAGCTATTTAAAACAGTATTATAATCCCCCACAATAATAATAGTGTCTTGAATTGCTTGCAGGGTTGATAATTTATTATATATATTGTCAAAGAAGTGTGGATCATCATTATTTGGTCCGTAAATGTTAATGAGCCATATCTGTTTATTGTCCAAAAACATATTTAAAATAATCCATCTACCTTGCGTATCTATTTGGACAATTTGCACATTCGGATCGAAATTACTATTAATTAATATCACCACTCCTTTTGAATTTCTTTGCCCATGGGAGAAGTATATTTCGCCCCCCCCATTCCTTTTTCCACGCAACTTAATCTAGAATTGTTGAATGAGTTTCCTGTAAACAATAGATATTATATTCCTTCTCTTTGAGCCATGTAAATATTATTCTTCTTTTGTTATTATCAGCTAAGCCATTACAATTATAACTGGCTATACTTATTTCACCATACACCATAAATGAGATACAAGTTTCAAGTCTATTTATCATTATATATGTTTGTAAATTTACCAATAAAAAATACCGTAATGATTGAGTGTCCATATAGCTGTACCATGATATTTGCATTGCTACTAAGTATCCCTTCAATTGTTCTCCACTAATTCCCCCGCTAAAGCCCCTCCCCATCCCAAGTTGGGCCGTCATCCCAGTGATCAGCATCCCACACACATCCCCCCGGATCCCTAAGGCCCCGAGAGGCCAGGACCCATCCATCGAAAACAGCACACAGTGCCACCCACAAAACAGAAGCAGATTATCCGCCAAAAGCATTTCCAATGCTGTCACCTCTATATATAACTATTTAAAAATATATATTTATTTAAATATCTTGCATATCTTATTTTCCATCATTATCAATTAATATGCGTAATAATGTCGGCAGTTCATGCGTAGGATTTTAACATATAACCCCGATTGCCATTATATTACATTTAATTTATTGACAAGCAATTATTATCCTAGCAAATAATTACCGTGGTCAATCCCATACCCCTCCCAACATCCCCACCCCCCCACAACAGATGCCGGACAAACACACACGCACATACTCACATACTCCAACACACTCAACCCCCCTCCTCCACAATCCACCATTAAATAAGATATTCAACGGCTGTTTTATCCCAGAGCCCAACTCAAGAAAGGACCTGATTTACGAGTGCACATACAGTTACAGCTGATTGAGAAAGCATGCAAGATTGAGCAGAAATTGACAACAATGTGAGATTTGATTAATCTACTTAATCTATGTCAAGTCCTAGGTGATGGAGATCAGATCCACCCTCTTCACCTGAGACACAAACACTCTGATCCCCTGTTGTAACCATTTTCCCCAAGCATCTCCGTGTAGTCAGACCTTTGATTATTTTGTGCCACCTGGGCCACAATGATAAACCCCCTCTCTGATTGTCCGAGTGTAACCCCCTCCCCATGGGTTACTGCAGCCAGTGTTGCCAGCACTGCCACTACCTGGGTGGGGGTACCCCACCGGAATCCCCACCGGCTAGGTAAAAGGTCGTCAAGGTTCTCATTAGCAGCTTTGAGAATTTCCTTGTATATAATGCTCTCCCATCAGGGGGATCTGGCTTTGTAGGACCAACCCTGTCAGGCAGGCTCAGAATCTTGAGGGGGCGGTGCTGCTCAAGTAGGTCTCTGACCGCATTTATTTCTCTGTTTAGGCTGCATACTTTTCTCTTTTAGGGTCCATAAAAGAGATGGGAACTTCTCTTTGGTGTATGGGTCACTCAGGTGGGTGTCCAGGATATAGGGTTGGGGATCTTTCCATCATGACAATAAAACATTTGATTAGATGTATACTATATTTTAATATGTATATCCCTCATCTACACAAAATTGAAAGCTCTCTCTCACTACCCCTGCTCATAGACACCCGTCGGCTCTAGGATATGCAACCATTTCCCCTCTCACTCAATTAACACCGCACCTTTCCAAACACAAAAATGCACACCACATGGTTGACTGCGGAGGAAATGGGCCGAGCGTGCAAACGCGCCCACATCCCACACCTGCCGCAAGGGGGAAAGGACGCCAGGGAGAACACAGGACCAACCTCAACAACCGTCCGCCAAAACAACAATTGCCCGCCAAAAAAGCCATGTTCTAATTAGTTGTATTTGAAGATGTTTTATTCTGCTTGTTATCTTTTCTTGTTATATCGTTTGATCCTTTTTTAAATACTATACTTACTATAAATGTTATTTAATATTCCAATCCCTATCATTGCTAGTATTGGGTGTTCCATTATTCAACTCCTCTATTACAAGAGAATAGGGTTAGAGAAAGAGAGGGAGAGAGAGAAAGAGAAAGAGGGGGAGAGTAGAAGAGGGGAGAGAGAAGAGAAGGGAGGCAGAGAGAACGAAGAACGGAGAAGGAAAGAGGAGAAAAAGATGGGAGGAGTGAGAGAGTGTATAAAGGGGATGAGAGAGAAAGAGGGTGGAGAGAGAACAGAGAGAGAAAGAGGGAGAGAGCAGAGGGAGCAAGAGGGGAGAGAGATAAAGAGGAGAGAAAAGAGGGGGAGAGAGAGAAAAGAGGGAGGAGAAAAGAGGGAGAGAGAAAGAGGGGGAGAGAGAAAGAGGGGAGGGAGAAAGGGGAGAGAAAAAGAGGGGGAGAGACGAGAAAGAGGGGGCGAAGGAGGAAAAGAGGGGACGAGAGCGAAAGAGGAGAGGAGAGAGGGGGACGAGGAAAGAAGGGGAGAAAGAAAAAGAGGGGGTAGAACAGAGAAAGAGGGGGAGAGAGAAAAGGGGGGAGAGCCAGAGAAAAAAAGAGGGGGAGAGAGAAAGAGGGGGAGAGAGAAAAAGAAGGGGAGAGAGAGAAAGAGGGGGAGAGAGAAAAAGAAGGGGAGAGAGAGATAGAGGGGGAGAGAGAAAGAGGGGGAGAGAGAGAGAGAGGGGGAGAGAGAGAAAGAGGGGGAGAGAGAGAAAGGGGGAGACCAAAAAGGAAAGGGCATGGACTTCATTAAGTGCTGTAAACTCCAGATGCTGTGTGGGCTGACCACACAGGTGTGTCTTCTGTGTGTGTGTGTATATAAATGTGCGTGTGCGCGCGCGTGTGTGTGTGTGTAAGCACGTCCTTGTAAACCTGTTTAATACCTGGCCAAGAGGCCTCTGCCTCTGCATGCAGGTAACCGGGGGCAATGGGACAGGAAGTGAAACAGGGGACGCAGCCGAGCGTGCCATTTTGGGGGAACGGAAATATTAATTACCAGAGAATTCAGGTTCTGCCATTGGTTGTGCAAGTCGTGACAGGGATTAAAGGGGTATAAAAGCACAGCACACTTTCACTGTAATCCACACAGCTGAGGAAGAGACAATCCGAGGACTACCACACACCACTGGACGACCACACTCTTAGAAAACCACAAGATGTCAGGACCAAAACAGACACTGACGGGTGAGTATCCTGCAACCGTGTGTGTCTGTGCGCTACACTGCTTTTCTCTAGCACTAACACGCCTGACGAAACTACGAAACTAACCAACAAGCCCTTCATCCGGTCACCCGGGTACGTTAGTGCTGGGATAGAGCAAAAAATATGTAGCACCCCTTGGGGATCCCTCAGAGAATTGAGACAACCCAGCCAGAGCTGTATATTGTATTTGATGGATTTATCTATAGAGATATACTGTAGGTAGGCTATACATAATTTTACTGTATGGCTTTGAACATACACAATGTAGTAGGTTCACACCCACAGGAGGCTGCTGAGGGAGGAAGGCTCATAATAATGACCTGGAACGGAGCAAATGGAATGGCATCAAACACCTGGAAATCATGTGTTTGATGTATTTGATACCGTTCCACCGATTCCGCTCCAGCCATTACCACGAGCCCGTCCTCCCCAATTAAGGTGCCACAAAAAAAGCAGCTTTTTGCAACCTGACCCTCTGCCAACACTTTACAAAAGCAACCTTCCGTCTAGCTTAATCACTATCTGACAAGTGTCTGGACAGGCTCGTGCTTTCACCTGTCCAATCACGTCAGATCAGGAAGTACTGAGAGAATTCGATTTTGAGAATGTCTGTTGTTAGAAGAACTTTAGAACAGTGTTCTAGAAGCGATGATATGGAATGAGATCAGTTAAAGGTGTGTGGACAACCAATAATCTTATTCTCCCGAGTGGCGCGGTGGTCTAAGGCACTGCATCGCAGTGCTAGCTCTGCCACTAGAGATCCTGGTTCGAATCCAGGCTCTGTCGTAGCCGGCCGCGACCGGGAGACCCATGGGGCGGCGCACAATTGGCCCAGCGTCGTCCAGGGTAGGGGAGGGAATGGCCGGCAGGGATGTAGCTCAGTTGGTAGAGCTTGGCGTTTGCAACGCCAGGGTTGTGGGTTTGATTCCCATGGGGGGCCAGTATGAAAAATACAAATAATGTATGCACTCACTAACTGTAAGAGCGTCTGCTAAATGACTAAAAAACGTAAATGTAAAATGACCGCCATCCCTCCATTCCACAGCCTTCTCCACCTCTCTGGCTGCAGTGCTGCTCCTCCTCCTCTCCACAGGGACCCAGTCAGCAGAACCTTCAGACAACCTTCAACCAACACAGTGGACACTCAGCCTGGACCTTGCCGAACCCACAAACACCATGCTACCTGTAAATGGTGAGTTTAAACTATTCCTAACAGCTACTCTAAGAGGACTGCGTTTACACAGGCATCCCAATTCTGATCTTTTGCCCAATTATTGGCAAACGATCTGATCTGAATGGTCAAAAGACTTCCTGGGAAAAAAGGTATCCTAATCCTGAATAAACTGGAAGGCCCTCTTTTGTTGTTTGTTGGAAATGGTTGCTACAGGTTTTTTTTATACCATCACATCAAAAGAGAGCCTTCCAGTTTGTTCAGGATTCAGATACCTGTTTCCAAAGATCACCTGCCCCTGGCTGCGCCCCCCACGCCCCACCTTGGCTAGACTGAATGTAAGGGTTAAGGGCTTTAGATTAAAGCTTCTGCTACATGAACCGTGCGTGTGTGTGTCTGTGTGTGTGTGTGTGTGTCTGTGTGTGTGTGTGTCTGTGTGTGTTTTACGCTACTGCTTTTTTTTGTAGTAGGGACGATAAAGATATTGTCTGATTGACTGATTGCAGGTAGTGACATGGAGGAGCCTCGCGTTCTGAGGATGTCAAGACCCTGTAAAGATGAAGATGCTGACTACTGCCTGAACGGACAGTGCATGTACCCCCTTGACAGCGATACCCCTGCCTGCACGTAAGAGATCACACAGACACACACATACACACACACACACACACCACACACACAATTAACTAAAAACGACCTGAACTCTGTCTCTCTGTGTGTAGGTGTGACTCGTCCTATGGCGGACCTCGCTGTGGTCTGTTGGTCCACCAGGCAACGCTGTGCAAGTCAGCCACAATAGAGGAGGTGATTGGCATCTGTGTGGGCGTGGCCTTGCTTGTCTGCTGCCTTGCTGCCATTCTCTACTGCTGCATCAAGAGAAGGTACACACGCTCACACACACTCACACACAACACACTCACACACTCACACACATGCACACGCACACACACACACACACCGATGCACCGCCTGTCAGGGGCTAGAGAAACATGGGAAGAGAGAGAGAAACATGGGAAGAGAGAGAGAAACATGGGAAGAGAGAGAGAAACATGGGAAGAGAGAGAGAAACATGGGAAGAGAGAGAGAAACATGGAAGAGAGAGAGAAACAGGGGAAGAGAGAGAAAACATGGGAAGAGAGAGAGAAACATGGGAAGAGAGAGAGAAACATGGGAAGAGAGAGAGAAACATGGGAAGAGAGAGAGAAACATGGGAAGAGAGAGAGAAACATGGGAAGAGAGAGAGAAACATGGGAAGAGAGAGAGAAACATGGGAAGAGAGAGAGAAACATGGGAAGAGAGAGAAAGAGGAAACGAAGGAGAAAGAAAAACAGGGTCGTGTTGAGCGTTGTGACAGTTTCAACAGGGTCGTGTTGAGCGTTGTGACAGTTTCAACAGGGTCGTGTTGAGCGTTGTGACAGTTTCAACAGGGTCGTGTTGAGCATTGTGACAGTTTCAACAGGGTCGTGTTGAGCATTGAAATGTAATGAGTAGAGATGACATAATTCCTTACTCTATCAGAGGAGATAGAAGCAGAGCAAGTTGGGTGGCAGGTAGCCTAGCGGTTAGAGCAATGGGTTTGTATCCCTGCATTTAGCCTCTTACATAAAATATGTGCAAGATGGAATAAGATGGTTTCTATAGTTTGTCTAACTTTTGATAATTTTCTGTCTCTTTTTTTGGTCTCTTCCTCCTCTGCTGTACCTCTCTCTCTTTCTAGGTGTGAAAAAAAGTATCTTCCCTATAAGACCTGCGGTGGCTCGGAGAACTCAGTTTAGTTTGATCCATCTGTTTCTCCATCATCGTCATCATCATCATCATCATCACCACCATCTCCATCACCACCATCTCCATCACCACCATCTCCATCACCACCATCATCACCACCATCTCCATCACCACCATCTACATCACCACCATCATCATCATCACCAACATCATCATCATCACCAACATCATAATCTCGTCCCAACCATTCCATGATGATATTTTGAACATGTCTTCCCATAACAAATTAAGGCTATTTATTGAAATGTCTCAGTTATTTTTTTTATGTGAGCATGTATTTAATATTTTTGTAATAAATGTTTTTAAATCGAATCACTAATGTTTGAAGATTTTTTAAATATGATATAAAGAAGTCAACGTCCTCATCATCATTACATCATGGGTAGGTCTACAGTCGTGGTCAAAAGTTTTGAGAATGACACAAGTATTGGTCTTCACAAAGTTTGCTGCTTCAGTGTTATGAGATATTTTTGTCAGTTGTTACTATGGGATACTGAAGTATAATTACAAGCATTCCATACGTGTCAAAGGCTTTTATTGACAATTACATTAAGTTTATGCAAAGAGTCAATATTTGCAGTGTTGACCCTTCTTTTTCAAGACCTCTGCAATCCGCCCTGGCATGCTGTCAATTAAATTATTTCACCTTTATTTAACCAGGTAAGCCAGTTGAGAACAAGTTCTCATTTACAACTGCAACCTGGCCAAGATAAAGCAAAGCAGTGCGATAAAAATAACAACACAGAGTTACATATGGAATAAACAAAACATAAAGTCAAAAATACAACAGAAAATATATATACAGTGTGTGCAAATGTAGTAAGTTATGGAGGTAAGGCAATAAATAGGCCATAGTGCAAAATAATTACAATTTAGTATTAACACTGGAATGTTAGATGTGCAAGAGATGATGTGCAAATAGAGATACTGGGGTGCAAATGAGCAAAATAAATAACAATATGGGGATGAGGTAGTTGGGTGGGCTAATTACAGATGGGCTGTATACAGGTGCAGTGATCGGTAAGCTGCTCTGACAACTGATGCTTAAAGTTAGTGAGGGAGATAAGACTCTCCAGCTTCAGAGATTTTTGCAGTTGGTTCCAGTCATTGGCAGCAGAGAACTGGAAGGAATGGCGGCCAAAGGAGGTGTTGGCTTTGGGGATGACCAGTGAGATATACCTGCTGGAGCGCATACTACGGGTGGGTGTTGCTATGGTGCCCAATGAGCTAAGATAAGGCGGGGATTTGCCTAGCAGTGATTTATAGATGACCTGGAGCCAGTGGGTTTGGCGACGAATATGTAGTGAGGACCAGCCAACAAGAGCGTACAGGTCACAGTGGTGGGTAGTATATGGGGCTTTGGTGACAAAACGGATGGCGCTGTGATAGACTACATCCAATTTGCTGAGCAGAGTGTTGGAGGCTATTTTGTAAATGACATCGCTGAAGTCAAGGATCGGTAGGATAGTCAGTTTTACGAGGGCATGTTTGGCAGCATGAGTGAAGGAGGCTTTGTTGCGAAATAGGAAGCCGATTCTAGATTTAACTTTGGATTGGAGATGCTTAATGTGATTCTGGAAGGAGAGTTTACAGTCTAACCAGACACCCAGGTATTTGTAGTTGTCCACATACTATAGGTCAGACCCGTCGAGAGTAGTGATTCTAGTCGGGTGGGCGGGTGCCAGCAGCGTTCGATTGAAGAGCATGCATTTAGTTTTACTAGTGTTTAAGAGCAGTTGGAGGCTACGGAAGGAGTGTTGTATGGCATTGAAGCTCGTTTGGAGGTTTGTTAACACAGTGTCCAATGAAGGGCCAGATGTATACAAAATGGTGTCGTCTGCGTAGAGGTGGATCTGGGAGTCACCAGCAGCAAGAGCGACATCATTGATATACACAGAGAAAAGAGTCGGCCCGAGAACTGAACCCTGTGGCACCCCCATAGAGACTGCCATAGGTCCAGACAACAGGCCCTCCGATTTGACACATTGAACTCTATCTGAGAAGTAGTTGGTGAACCAGGCGAGGCAGTCATTTGAGAAACCAAGGCTATTTAGTCTGCCAATAAGAATGCGGTGGTTGACAGAGTCGAAAGCCTTGGACAGGTCGATGAAGACGGCTGCACAGTACTGTCTATTATCGATCGCTGCTATAATATCGTTAAGGACCTTGAGCGTGGCTGAGGGGCACCCATGACCAGCTCGGAAACCGGATTGCATAGCGGAGAAGGTACGGAGGGATTCGAAATGGTCGGTGATCTGTTTGTTAACTTGGCTTTCAAAAACGTTCGAAAGGCAGGGCAGGATGGATATAGGTCTGTAACAGTTTGGATCTAGAGTGTCATCCCATTTGAAGAGGGGGATGTCCGCGGCAGCTTTCCAATCTCTGGGGATCTCAGACGTTAGGAAAGAGAGGTTGAACAGGCTAGTAATAGGGGTTGCGACACTTTCGGTGGCTAATTTTAGAAAGAAAGGGTCCAGATTGTCTAGCCCAGATGATTTGTAGGGGTCCATATTTTGCTGTCAGCTGTCTGAATTTGTGTGAAGGAGAAGCGGAGGGGGCATGGGTAAGTTGCAGCGGAGGGTGCAGAGCTCGTGGCCGGGGTAGTGGTAGCCAGGTGGAAAGCATTGCCAGCCGTAGCAAAATGCTTGTTGAAATTCTCGATTATTGTAGATTTGTCGGTGGTGATAGTGTTTCCTAGCCTCAGTGCAGTGGGCAGCTGGGAGGAGGTGCTCTTATTCTCCATGGACTTTACAGTGTCCCAAAACTTTTTGGAGTTAGTGCTACAGGATGCAAATTTCTGTTTGAAAAAGCTAGCCTTTGCTTTCCTAAATGCTTGTGTATATTGGTTCCTAACTAACCTGAAAAGTTGCATATGGGGGCGGGGGCATTCGATGCTATGCATTTACGCCACAGGGTTTTTTTTGCTGGTCAAGGGCAGTCAAGTCTGAGGAGAACCAGGGGTTTATCTGTTCTTATTTTCTGCTTTTTGAATGGGGCATGCTTATTACATTTTTTTTCCAACTGTTTACACCGTTTCAAAACTATGTCTCCTTTTTTCAAAACTCTACACACAATTCCCAAAACTGCACACACAAAATGCAAAATTGCCTCACATCTCCTTCAAAATGTAACACTGCATTTAAAATGCCGTAAACACATGTCAGAATGAAGCATTTGCATCAAATGGCAAACACTTCTTTCATAATAGTACCCTTTTTGGATATACCATTTTTAAACACTGTTGTTCTAAATCTAAAGCTCTTTGGTCTTTCATGGCTTATATCTACATTTCAATCCCAAAGTTCTACAGTGAAGTAATCTGCTGAGAGGGGGGTAACAAGTACAAATGTAAACACCAATGCAATGTAGAAACAGAAAATATTTATTAGGCCAAACATTACTGTTGTATACAGTAGCACACAACAAAACCATAAACATATGTAAACCAAAAGTATATTCTTTAGAATACAGTAAAGAACACAATTGTGTGTGTGGGGTCCCGGGGGGCAGTCCAGGAATTGGTAGGGGGGTGGGCAGTCACCAGTGCTAAGCTACGCTTCATCTCTTCTCCGGGCTGGGTCTGGCCACAATACTTTGTCCACATCACAAGATACGTTTTCTCTTGCCAAACATCGAGGGAAGTATCTCCTAGCATGGCGTATCCAACCTTGGACAGAGGCAACCTCTATGTCCCCACATGCGTCCTCCATTGCCTGGAGAAGCGGCATGCGGGCATAGGGTTGGCAATCATACACTTTCCAGCGCCAGGCTGAGAAGAATTCCTCTATGGGATTTAGAAAAGGTGAATATGAGGGTAGGTACAAAACTACAAATTGTGGATGGGTGGCAAACCAGTTTTGGACCAGAACAGCCCGGTGAAAACTAACATTGTCCCATATAACCACAAATCCAGCAGGCTCCTGATCTGGATCAGGGACAAGCATTGTGTAAATTGCATCCAGAAAAGTGAGCCTATGGCCGGTCTTGTACGGACCCAGTGTGGCATTGTGATGGAGGACCCCGTTTTGAGTGATGGCAGCACACATAGTTATATTACCCCCACGCTGTCCAGGGACATTGGTAATTGCCCTCTGTCCTTTTACATTTCTTCAGCGGCGCCTGGTTTTGGTGAGGTTGAAGCCAACCTCATCCACATAAATAAATCTCCTTCCTTCTCTTCTTTGCCCTCGTCCTCTTCTTCCTCTTCCTCTTCCTCTTCCTCTTCATTTTCCTCTTCCTCCTCCTCCTCCTCTTCCAACACTTCGTCTTTGAATTTGTCCTCGTTGTTGTCCCCTGCCTCTCCCTCCTACTCCTCTTGCTCTCTGTCCATTGTTGGCATCCATTGTTCAAAACAGGTAATCTGACCTTTGACCTATTTATAGGCCTATACTACAGTAAAGCAGTGATTGGTTAGTGATCAGTTAAGCAATTAGTGTTTGCACATGTGAAGAGTGTGTGTGTGACCTGGTGAATAAGTGTAGCATTTTGAATGGTTGTGTTTGGAAAAGGAAAGCAAGTCACTTCCTGTTAGATTTTGTGTTTTAGGTAGAGAATTGTGTGTAGTGTTTGAAAAAAGTGTTTTATGCAATTGACAACTGAGTCAAAGGCTGAGAAATAGCTTATGGTTTTGGAGATTTGGTGTGTAGTTTTGCACTTTGAGTGAGAGGTTTCAAAAATCGTGTGACATGAAAAGATTTTGTGTGTAAGCAGTCGGAAAAAACTGTAAGATTGAGAGGAAAGCACTTTTAAAGAACAACCAGGCATCCTCTACTGACAGAATGAGATCGATATCCATCCAGGATACCTGGGCCAGGTCAATTAGGAAGGCCTGCTCGCTAAAGTGTTTTAGGGAGCGTTTGACAGTGATGAGGGGTGGTCGTTTGACCGCGGACCCGTTACGGACGCAGGCAATAAGGCAGTGATCGCTGAGATCCTGGT